CGGGGGAGGCTTTTTACCTGCCGAGCTTGTCAATTCCTCTCGGTCCTGAATTGCATGGCGTCATTTCGGCTTCATTGCTCGCCCCGGCTGGGCAGTTTCGTTTTGGGGGAGGAAGGTGGCTGGTAGAGCCGAGGATTTATCATGCTAAAAAACACTACGCGGCAGTTGGAAACTGCTGCACAGCATTTTCTTGACACGTGCGCGGCTGCGCAGCCGCGCAGCTTAGAGGGAAGCGTGCCATTGGTGTTTTAGATCCCTCTTCCTTCTGGTTAATTCAGTCTCCTGATAGGTGACAGGTGATTGAGTCCATCCAATGGTGAATGCTTCTCTAAAGGAGGACGTCGCTGCATCTGCCTCGATAGAGACAACTGTCTGCACTTTCTTAAGAAGCCATCACTGGCCATCACCAACAGATCTGATTTTCATCCAGTCTTCAATCTTCCCTTTTTAGAGCAAGTGATTAATCTATAGCTCCCGGGAGAAACAGATCCTCTGAACTCCTTTCAATTAGGATTAAAGTCTGATTGAGATAGCATTGATCACACTGGTTAATGACTTTTGGCAAGCTCAGCATACAGCGGTATAGCCATCCTGGTCCACCTTGATCTCTCATCAGCTTTTGATACTATCAAACATGATTATCATTTTGGACCAACTTAATGGACTGACAGGCAGTGTTATGGTGATTCTCCTCCTTTCTCCGAGGCAATTCCAATCAAAATTCATAGGGAAAGAAAAGATAGACTTGAGATCCCTGCTTTGTGAAGTACTCTCTCACTACTCTTTTTTAACATTACATGAAGCCACTGGGTGAGGTCATTCATCAGCACAGAAATTATTGTATTATTGTATGCTGATGACATCCAGTTGTGCAACTCAGCACTGGGTCAATGAGGTCAAGGCTTTTTTTCCCCTTTCCCCGCATCTGGAGATCTAGACGTTTGGAGCAGAAGAACAGATTTTGGCAAGACCAAGATTTTCCATCTTTAACTCTGCACAGGGAATCATACTTTCTCAATCAGAGTTGGTGTGCAATTCCTAAATACACAACTCCTGCTTAAAGAGCAAGTAACAGCCATAGCCTTTTGCATAAGTTCATCTTGAGTACCAACTGTACCCACTCCTGGACCAAGGAGCCAATTAATATGATATATTTATGCACAATTTAATCCCTGAAATTTTATCTCTTGCTTTTCTGATCCAACAGACACTTGGCTTGTCTTTTGACAGAATTCTGTAAGCTGAGAACTGTTAGCTCCAGCCATTATCAACAAACTGTGTTTGGGGAGCTTTAGAAAATGCATGAAAGCCAAGCACAATTTAATTGTAATTGATTTGATATGGGATTAATTTCAGTGAGAATTTCAGCTTTGAATCTTCCATTTGAAACCGTAAGGACATTAATTTTATTATCACATTATGGACTATGACCTATTAAAGCATCATACAATAATAAACATATGCATCTTTAAAACTGTTTTTTCTACAATGTCTATCTTTCCATAAACTATTAAATTTCAATTCATATAGCTTAATTGTGCACATTCTATAATATTTAAACCTATAATATGTAAAGATGAATTAGGGAGCAAAAGACTTCATGATGATGAATCTAGGATTGTACAGGTTTGTACTTGATTTACAAGAATTTACAGAATTATTATTGTAAGCTGTGGTAGTGGTCAAGAGGGTCGCCTCGTCTAAGGGTACTGGACTTTAATTTCTATAATTCTAAATTAACAAGCTCCAACATTTTTGAAAAGGTTAAATCATTTGTTGACATACTTACATCCTGAAGTAATTTTTCAAGATTTTCCTGCAGTTCATAAAAGTACCGAGAAGTAATAAGTCCTTCACGTGATTTATCCAGGCAGTCTCTGGCCAACTCAATAATTTGATGATGAATAAAGCTTAGGACCCCATCTGCTAATTGCAACACATTTTCAGGTGCACTCGATGCAATCAATTCAGCCAGCCGTTCCTCCATCTGGGCTGTGGCCTAAAGATGGGTCAAATAATTAGTGACATTTTGTTATAAATCAATCAACATATAAGCTTAATTAAATTATTCATACCTAATTAATGGCCTTTATTGGAGTATTTAAGGATTTTGCCTATAGAAAATAAATAAACTTTGTTCTCTCTTATCAATGTAAACATTCATATTAAATTTATTGATATTATATTCTATAATTATAACTTACAGATAAAAAACCTCATTTCAGAAAAGTTTAAACTCCATATAGTTTGAGAGAGCTATAATGGGAGTGCATGTAATTTTTATTTTTTACAGACTGCATAGTGGATCTTTCATTTATTTTAGCATCCTATCTTGCTAAGAATGGAAAAGTTTGACTTCAAATTTTAAACTTAAAGAGTTTTTAAAAAGATAGGATCAGGAATTATACACATATTTCATCTTTCGAATAGACTTTAGGAGACATCTTTCAACCATCTAATACTACTTATGTACCAAATAAAATCCAATTTATATTTTGGCACACATTGTGATTCTTAACTGGCAGTCTATTGCAAATACATTTTAAACAGGGGCCAGCTCCAGTCCATCTTTTTTGATGAAGATACTTTCGTAACTTAAATATTTATAACTATTTTGTAAACCTTCAATTTGCTTAAATAATTCCAATGTGGATTTTCATTGTACTATTATTGCCTTAACTTTGTATAAAGAATAGGTTCTTTATATTGTACATTTTTTATCTCATATATTATTATTCCTACTAAATGGATCTTAAAAAAAACCTCAGACTATTCAGAGTACCTTCTTACCTTTGGAAATCTTTCTTTGTATACATGGTTCATCATCACTATTTCACTATCAAAAGACACTGGAGAACGACCAGGGCTAAAAAAAAAAGTGTGAGGAGTAAAGCATTGTAACGTAAGGCAGTATGACTATTTGAGTATACCATCCACTTTAATGTGATAATATATTTCATAAACCAATTAACAGCATAAACTCTGTGTGCATAATTACTATGTAATACTTTGGCTTTAATTCACAAGACATGTTTTGAAATATATAGAAGTCAAATTGCAGCATTCTTCTCAGAATCATAAAAATAGCCACTTCTTTTTTGGGATCATACAGTTGTTGTGGTTGAAATTTCTTCATTGAAAGATACAGTGCACTAATGTGATTAGTCAATTATTTTTTTACTTCCAAGCCAAGTGGTCAAGAAAATGAAATCAAAGTCACCTAGCTTGCATGCCTAAAGAATGACCAGAGTCTGGGTCTTTCTGCTCCTATCACATTAGCTCTCACAAGTAGATAATAAGTTAATATAAGTTTTACAAAAGCAGTTCATGTATAAAATCCACTGTTGCTAAATTTCTTTCCAAGGCATTCTAGTCAATATGGACAGATCAGCAATATGTAATTCTCCCTTAGAACAAAAAAAAGTGATTTAGGATCTAATATAAAGATATTTCTGTTAGACATCTTTTAATCTTTCCCAGGCCTGGGGATAGTATAGTATGTTTGTACAGCCCCTATTGTATTTTTATTGCATTTTTACTGGTATGATTGTTTTCACTCCGATTGACTTCTGCCAGACAAGCCTCCATTTGATGAATTATGGAGCAATTAATTGCTGAAAATAGGCAAATGGTGTAACAAATCGCGGTGTTGTCGGACCAAATTACGCAGTTGCAGAGAGCTGCAAAAAACCCCAGCCAAGGAGGAAGTGCCCAGTAGCCATGCCAGATAAATAT